GACTGACTAATTTCACTCAACACAATGCCCTCAAGGTTCATCCATGTTAACTGGTGGTTTGCAGCTTCCTTATTATTCTTCAAGGTAGCATAATATTCCATTATGTGTATGTACCAGTTTGTTTATCCATTCTTCAGTTGATGGGCACTTTGGCTGCCTCCATCTTTTTGCTGTTGTAAATAGTGCAGCTATGAACATTGGTGTGCATGTATCTTCCCATGTTGTGGCTTGTTTTTCTTGTGGGTAAATACCAAGTAGAGGAATTGCTGGATCATAAGGTATTTCTATTTTCAACCTTCAGAGGAAATGCCATATTGCTTTCCAGAGAGGTTGGACCTACCTATTTATTTTAATATTTTATGTGGTAATACACTCCTTTTATTTATTACATTTCCATGTAAGTAGAGTAGTTCCCTTTTCTTACTCCAGAATAACTACCAGACCTAGAACTCTATTCTAGAGCTTCCATATAATTAGTAAACCATTTTCATTATATTAAGACCTCTCATCGAGGGCTTTAACCTGTTTGCTTTTCCAGTGAAGTAGAGACCTAAGAAATTAGATAATTTAGCTGTTGTTGGGAAGACCCCTAATGAGATGGATTGGCCAGGTGGCAGCATTGATGGACTCAAGTGTGGCAACAGTAGCGAGGTTGGCCCAGGATCAGACATTGTTTCGTTCTGCTGTGCATAAGTTCGCTATGAGTGGGTGCCGACTCCATGGCACCTAAGAACAACAACAAGTGCTGTTGAGTTGGTTCCCACTCATTGTGACCCTGTATAGGGTTTCCAAGAGAAACCTGGTGGGTTTGAACCATTGACCTTGTGGTTTGAAGTCCAGTGCTGATCCTACAGTACCACATATGTTGTCATAAAACCATCTGTTTTTCTCTTATAGGAGGCAGCTGCTACAATTAACAATTTGCTGCTTTTTTGGGTGAAATTTAGTTCATTATTTCCACTAAATGATAAATCTAACCACCTGGCATCCTTACTGAAGCTATATCAATAAAAATTTTTTTTGAATTCTAGCAAAGTGTTAGGAATTTTCATATTTACGGTGGGGGAAGTTTAGCAATCTTAGAAAGTCCATTTTCAAAATACAGTGGTAGGGGTACCAGCTTGGTGGTGTCTGACCCCAACCACTCATACTTAATGGATATGAGCTCAAAAAAGCCCAACTGAAGAATTGAAGGGTATCCTTAATTAAAGGGGACATGGCAACAGTTCACAAGTTCCTTAGAGGAAGTGATGAAGATAGTCATAGTCCAGGAATTGGGAAGTAGGGTCTCAAATTGGTTCATTCCACTTTGACCCCTTGCTAAAAATGTGTATTTCCACCCAATATACTGAATCAGAATTTACATATGAACAACTACCCCTGGCGAGTCTCATAAACCCCCCAAGGTATGTATATAGAATCCTCTGGGGAATCTTATGAAAATATAGTTTCTGATTCAGTAGAAGTGGGGTGGAAACGTACATTGTCAGTAGAGGGTCAAACCAGAATGAACTGGGGAAGTGAGGAGGACCTGGAGATGAATATAAAGACAACATTTGATCCTGGGCAGTGTTTAATTCTGAGCATTGTAGCAAACTTGACCCAGTAACTCATGGTCTCATAGTCCTGTATCTTGTTGGACTCCCTCCATGACACAGTAGTAGTAATTGGAGTCAAAGAACAGGTCAAGAATCAAGACTGTGAAAGGAGGTGTTTTTTAGTCAGCATCTACAAGGACACTACATCCAAAATCCATAGTTGTAAAAGAACCTAATCTTATACAGAGTGCATCATCTACAAAGTAGTGTTTGACATTTTGTTTGGTGTGACTGCTGAATCTTTGACTAAGTTAAGAAACAACTTGGAACAGGTCAAGAAGAGATTCAATACATACTCATTATCTCGTTTTCCAAGGCTAAATTGAGATAATATCAGCAAGTCTTCTCACCCTGCAGGACCAACAATGAATGACTGGATTAACTCCAATCATACATGGGTCAGTGCAGGTGCACTCAATATGGGCTACTACACTCGGAAGTCAGGTTATTCGGGAAAGAGTTGGTCCACCAGGTCATGTTAGTCTCAAGTGATAGCCAAACTAGAACATATAACACAATAAGAGCCAGTGCTTTGATGATTATCTTTAGTATTCCACTTGTTACTAACTAGACCCCAAGACCCCAAGCATTCTTTGAAGCAGAAAAGCACGTGAGAAAATGTATTTCCAATACATAGGTACCATTCGCTACCCAGAAGAAGTTATTTTCCATGGAATTTCCTACTTTGTCTAACAATTGGCACATGAACACATCATCTTAAGCAGGCTTCCAAGCACCCAAACACACTCCAGATTCCACTGTCACAGTCACACCCCCCATTCTCGCTTCTGATCAGCCAGCAGAATCCTACACAGAGGTAGTGACCTCTCCTCCTCGTACAAGGAAGCTGCTGCTCTTCTCTTGAGCACTGGCACCATCAGTCAGTGTTAGGTGTTTCTTCAGAAGTTATAAAGAAACAAACTGGTAAAAAAAAAATTAGAAGCGATTTTTTTTAAGCCCAGTGTCTACGAATATTTTCCCAGTTAGGTGTTTTGACCTTGTTGGCTACAAGTTACTGGAAGGAAAAGTAGTATTTTTATGCACCCAATAAAAGCCAAACCAAATTTATTGAGGTGGAGTCAATTTTGACTCACAGTGACCCAGTAGGGTAGAGAAGAACTGCCCCAAAGGGTTTCCAAGCTGTAAATCTTTCTGGAAGCAGACTGTCACGTGTCTTTCTCCCCAGGAGCCTGCAGGTGGGTTCCAACCGACTGGTAGAATCAACAGTGACCCTTAAAACTCTGAACTCATGCCTTATAAGCAGTTCAGCAGTTTAATTTTTCCAAATTACCTTCTTCTGATATTCTCGAGACCTTTCTAAAGTCACATACATATCAGACTGCAGCCCAACATTTCCCCACAGTCTTTTCCCACCGTTGCTCCTCCACTCCTGCAAACTAGAGAATAGTTTACCACTGGGTTGGTCTACTGGTTTTGTCAGAAAGCGGTGCATCCTAGTCCTTAGAAATTCTCTCAACATATGCACCTTCCCAACAGCAAATAAACCTCAGATCTAAATGTAAACCCGCTTAAAAGCTGTTCAAGTTGCAAGTGCCCTCTTCATTGATCCCTAGATCCTCCCAGGTTTTCCTTATCCCATGAGAAACAAAAACTTCTCATTTCCCAGGTTTTTAAACAGTAAGACCCGCTTTCCTCCTCTTCAATGTATCCACAGTCCTCCAGGCTTCCCAACCCTGGCACAAACTCCTAGTAGACCGCTACTGATGCCTCGGCCTCACCAGTGACTCCCCGAGCGCCACTTCCGGATCTCGGGTGTCTCTGTTTTACTAGTCCGCTTCGTTTCCCGGGCGCTTCCTAGAGCTTTGTTCTAACCACTAGCCGAGTTGGAGTCGGGGGGCGCAGGCTAGTGCGGCTCCAGAGTTGCCCTCTGAGAGAACGCATCGAGTGTCTTCCTGAGCCTGACAAATCTGACGCGGCTACGGAGTCGGAGGTGGCGGGGGAGGGCCAGTTTGTTTGCGCACTGACTGGAGCACACCCGGAAGTGGCGCTCTAGAGGAGCTGCGCAGCCGTCGAAAGCGGGTGCCAGGTACGGAGGAGGTGGAGGGGAAGTCTCAGTACTCTCGGCGAGTGTCACAACCGAGGGTGGGGTGTGGCGGGAGAGTTCTGCGCGGGCCTGGTTCTAATTATGGTTCTATGGTGGTAGATCCGGCTAGGTTCCGGGAGGCAAGGGCCTCGTGGGGCTGCCGGACTAGTGAAGGAGTGCAGTGGCCAAAGGGACCCCGCCTCCCGGTATTCTACCTCTCCGGGGGACCACTGTCTTCTATTGACGACCTCCTTCTTCCCTCCCTCACCTGGGGAGTCCAGGGCCTTTATGCCATTGTGAAAGTCAGGACTGGAGCAGAGAATCCATTAGATTTCTGCCCGCCCCCCTGACTTTTGGGAGGGGGCACGAGGCTGCTTTGGTGGGGACTGCTGTTTTTCGTGCTGTTCGCTGCACACCGGCACAGTTACTTCTAACGTTTTTGTCTTTACTCCCTTTAGCGTCTAACTTTGACCCCTCTGCCCCTTAAAAGATGCTGGAGTCATATGTAACTCCAATTTTAATGAGCTATGTGAATCGCTACATCAAGAACTTAAAGCCATCGGATCTGCAACTTTCATTATGGGGCGGAGACGTGGTTCTCAGCAAGCTAGAATTAAAGTTGGATGTACTGGAACAGGTAAGCTGAATAGCTGTCATTGACTGGACACATTTTCAACTAGCTTAGATGTAATATTTCCAACTCTTACTTTATGCTTTAAAAATTAATTTTTCTGCTAAAACACATTTTAGTCTATCCTGAAAGTAGATAACTTAAAATTTATAGATTATCATTTTTTTATCAGCTGTTTTTTTTCTTTTTCTTTTTTAAATTGTGAATTGAGTGAAGGTTTACAATCCTCAATTTCACATTCAACAAGTCATACGTTTTGTTTCATCTCAATGATTGCAGTCCTCTCCATGCAACAGCATTTGTTCCGTTTGTTCCTTGTGATTACCAACTTATGTACAAATATCCTCTTTGAAACTCATGTTTTTGTGGGATATAAAAACATATATATATTGCACTCTTCCTCACATACCCATTCAGCCTGTGTGTCTATCCATGCATGTATCTACACAGAGAACACTGCTGTTGCAAGATTGTGTGTATGTCACTATTGACCTCATTACCCTTTAGCTCATGCATACCTCCCTGAGTTTTCACCTATCTTCATCATTTTACTTCCACCCTCCTTCTTCTTGAATATTGCTCACCCTGCCACCGAAGTTAACATGTGTCTACAAGGAGCTCTGGTAGCATAGTGGTTACCAATCAGGCTGCTAACCTCAGGGTCAGCAGTTCGGAACTACCAGCTGTTCTGCTGAAGAAAGATGAGGCTTTCTGCTCCTGTAAAGATTGACAGCCTCAGAAACCCTGTACAGGATCACTATCAGTTGGAATCGACTCTACGGCATATAACAACAACAACTCTTTAGTCAGTGAATTACTTTCCCTTCCCTCATACCTCTGGTAACCATCAAAGAATGTTTCTTTTAGTATGAAAACCTTATCTTGAGTTTTTAAAATAATGATCTCATATAGTATTGGCCTATTGTAATTGACTAATTTCACTCAGCACAATGTCTTCCAGGTTCATCCATGTTATTTGTAGATTTACTGTCACTCTTCAGCGTTGTATAGTGTTCCACTGTGTGTGTGTATCAGAGTTTGTTTATCTACTCTTCCATTGATGGGCTATCTCCATCTTTTAGCTATTGAGAATAGGGCTGTTGTGAACATTGGTGTGCATCTATTTCTTTGTGTCCTGGCTCTTATTTCTTGTGAATGTATACCAAATAGAGGGATTGCTGGGGCATATGGCATGTTTATTTCCAACTTTCTGAGGAAGCACCACACTGTTTTCCATAGTAATTGTAGTTTTACAGTCCCATCAGCAATATAGTAGGGTTCCAGCCTCTCCTTACCCTTGCCAGCATTTGTTGTTTTTTGTTCCTTTGAACTTTGCTATTAATGCTGTTCTGAGATGATATCTCATTGTTGCTTTGATTTTTATCTCTCTAATGTAGCTCTGGTAGCATAGTGGTTACGAATTGGGCTGCTAACCTCAAGGTCGGCAGTTCGAAGCTACCAGTGGTTCTGCAGGAGAAAGATGAGGTGATCTGCTCCCGTAAAGATTTACAGCCTCGGAAACCCTGTGCAGGGTCACTATGAGTCAGAACCGACTCCACGGTACTTAACAACAACAACAACAACAATGTAGTGTAGTGGTTAGGAATTGGGCTGCGAACTGCAAGGTCAGCAGTTCGAAACTATCAGCTCTTCCACAGGAGAAAGGTGAGGCTTTCTGCTCCCGTAAAGAGTTACAGCCTCAGAAACCCTGTACAGGGTGGCTATGAGTCGGAACCGACTCCACGGTACATAACTACCTTTTGTGGCACTGTGGCTTAATCGCTGGACTGCAAAATTGGTTTGAATTGCAAGGTTGATGGTTCAAGCTCACCAGCTGCTCCTCGAAAATCCTATACAGGGTTGCATGGGTTGGAACTGACTCGATGGCACTTGCTAACAACAACAACAACAATGCTAATTGGAGTCCTGGTGTGGTGCTGTTGTGGGTTAATGCTCTGGACTGCAAGGTCGGTTTGAATTACAAGATTGGTGGTTCAAGCTCACCAGCTGCTCCTTGGAAACCCTATACAGGTTGCTATAGGAAACCCTATACGATGCTGACTCTATGACATTTAGCAACAACAATAGCTATTTATGGTGAATATTTCTTCTTATATGCTTGTTGGCTGCTTGAATTCCTTCTATGTGAATTGTCTGTTCATGTCCTGTGCCCTTTTTAAAATTGTGTTGTTAATCTTTCCCTTGTAGAGGTGTTAGAGTTTTCTGTGAATCTTAAATAGTAATCCCTTGTTTATAGAATATCATTTATGGTTTGTTTCTGGTGATGATTTGTTAGAATGGGATTCCTGAAAGTTTCTTTGATGGGAAAACAATTTGTTTCTATTCAGAATTGTTCAGCCAATTTACCCAAGTCTCAAGCATCACCCAAAATACTAATTTACATTGCCAAAATTCTTTCTGAAGCTGGGAAAGATTACATTCCCATTCTCCTTTTATGGGAGTAGAAGGGTCCCAAAGGTGTCAAGGTTTGCCTTTCTGTAACAGAGGGCATGGTCAATCACGGAGTAATTGTTGTTGTTAGGTTCCATCGAGTTGGTACCAACTCATAGCGACCCTATGCACAACAGAACGAAACGTTGCCCGGTCCTGGGCCAACCTCACAATTGTTGCCAAGCTGTAGCCCATTGATGCTGCCGTATTGCCAATTCATCTCGCTTGGGGGGTCTTCCTCTTTTTCTCTGACCCTCCACCTTACCAATCATGATATCTTTCTCCAGCTACTGATCCCTCCTGAAAATATATCCAAAGTATGAGAGATGAAATTAGGCCATCCTGGCCTCCAAAGAGCACTCTGGCTGTACTTCTTCCAACGCAGATCTGTTTGTTCTTCTGTCATCCCATGACACTTTGAATATTCTCCTCCAACACCATAACTCAAAAGCATCACTTCTTCTACAGTCTTCCTTATTCACTGACCCGCTTTCACATGCATATGAGGTTATTGAAAATACCATGGCTTGGGTCAGGTGCACTTTTGTCCTCATGCTAACATCTTTTCTCTTCAACACTTTAAAAAAGTCTGTGCAGCAGATTTGCCTAATGCAGTACGTCATTTGATTTCTTGACTGCTACTTCTGTGAGTGTTGATAGTTGGTCTAAGAAGAATGAATTCAATGACACTTCAGTCTTATCTCTGTTGATCATAATGTTGTTTATTGGTCCAGTGGTGAGAATTTTTGTTTTCTTGACATTGAGATGTAATCCATACGGAAGGCTGTGCTCTTTGATCTTCATCAGTAAATGTTTTAAGTCCTCTTCACTTTCAGCAAGCAAGGTTGTATCATCTGCATATTGCAGGTTGTTAATGAATCTTCTTCCAATCCTGATGCCACGTTTTTCTTCATATAACCCAGCTTCTCGGATTATTTGCTGAGCATACAGGTTGAATAATTATGGTGAAATTATACAACCTTGTTGCACACCTTTCTTAAAATTAAAACATTCAGTGTTCCCATGTTCTGTTCTAGAAATTGCCTCTTGGTCCAGGTACAGATTCCTCATGAGCACAATTAAGTATTCTGGAATACTCATACTTCGCAATGTTGTCCATAGCTTGTCATGATCCACACGATCAAAAGCCTATGCGTAGTCGATAAAGCATAGGTAAACATCTTTCTGGTATTCTCTGCTTTCAGCCAAGATCCATCGGGCATCAGCATTGATATCCTTCATTCCACAGCCTCTTCTGAATCTGACTTGAACCTCTGGAGGTTCTCTGTCAATGTATCCTTGCAGCCGTTCCTCTATTACCTTTAGTAAAACTTTACTCGCATGGAATATCAAAGATACTGTCCGATGATTTCCGCATTCCATTTGGTCAGCCTCTCTTTGGAATGGGCACAAATACAGTTCTCTTCCAATCAGACGGTCATCAGACAGTTGTTTTTCAAATTTCTTAGCAGAGATGAGTGCCTCCAGTGCCGCCTCACTTTCTTGAAAGATTCCAATTTTTATTCCATCAATTCCCAGTGACTTCTTCTTTGCCAGTTCCTTCAGTGCACCTTCAACATCATTGGCTCTTGATCATATGCTACCTCTTGAAATGGTTGAACATAAACTATTTCCTTTTGGTACAATGACTCTGTGTATTCCTCCCATCTTCTTTTGATGCTTTCTACATCATTCAATAATTTGCCCAGAGAATCCTTCAATAATGAGAGTTGAAGCTTGAATTTTTCCTTCAATTCCCCCTGCTTGAGACATGTTGAGCGTGTTCTTCCTTTTTGGTTTTCTGATTCCAGATCTTTGCACACTTCATTGTAATATTTGACTTTGTTTGCTCAACCTGACCTTTTTTTTTAAAGTTTTATTGTGAATTATGTGACAGTTTACATGGGAGAACATCAGTTTTACATTCATCCTATCGTATATTGTTTCATTGCCATGGTTACAATCCCCTCCACGCATCACCAATCAACGAAAGGGTACATCCTATAAGTCTGCTCCCCTCCCCCCCATCCCCCCTGGTCGTCAGCACACAGCCCCTCTTTTTCCCTGGTTCCTGAGTCCCCAACTGCTCCATCTCTCCACGCCATCATCTCTGCCTCCATCTCGGGGATTGCTGCCTCTCTGCTCTTCTCCCTTTATGGTTCCAGGGACCTCCGCTCTTAGCCTGCAAAGTCAATCACTCCTCTCCTTGCACAAAATGTCTACTTTTACATTTACAACCTTCACAATCAGTCCTGGTAACAATTATTCATCCTTGTATCACAAGAGACCTATCCACATTTCCTTTAATCAGTCCCGCCTAGACAGATTGGATACTACTCAGTGGAGATTCTACCTTCTTCCACGCCCTCTGGATCTAGGTTCCCTCTTGAAAGCTTGTAAGCCAGTCACTTCTTGCCTTTGTAGCCCCCCCCATTTTGGATAGCCAATGTCCAAGTTGCCCATCCCTGTCTACTCTGTGTATGGAGGGGGTGGGAATGATCCCTACTGCAAAGATTTGTTCCCTCTTTTGAGCTACTGCATCCATAGGTGTAGGT